CCCCCCCCCCCCGCTTGTCCACTATTTTTTGGAAGCAGACCTGGCAACCCTAGGGACATTGCAACCGTCATAAATATGAACCAGTTGCCAAACATTTGAATTTTGATCACATGAGCATGGGGATACTGCATCAGCCGTCTAAGTGTGAAAAGCGGTCATGTCACTTTTTTCAATGCCTTGTAACTTTGAACTGTCATTAAATGAATGGCTGTAAATCGAGGAAATTCAGGCAGGAGCTGCACCTTTTGAATGCAGGTGTGCAGACAAGTAGAAACGGTGTTGAAATCCTGGGGAAAATGAAGCCTGCATGTCAAGACTGCCCAGATTTATGAAGGGAAAAAATGGAATTTAATTATGGGAGTTCCCGTATACAAGTCTCTGAGCCAATATGAAGTGGTCCTTGGGGAAGAGGTTAATTCCATACCTTCTACAGTTAACCTCGGAAGACTCATGAGTCGACAAAGGCCACACATGTTCAGTCAGCAGTTCTCCTTTCTTGTAGGCTAATTTTGCCAAAGGAGAAAGCCAAGAAAATGTCATGTAGGAAAATAAACCAGCATTGTCAATTGGGTGCCGATGCCTAAAGGAACAGGAAGAAAGAGAAAACATTAAAGGCTGAAGTATGCATTTTGTCATAGCTGATGTCTGAGTTAAACTATATCAGGGGTCTTCAAACTTGGCCCTTTTATGACTTGTGGACTTCAACTCCCAGAATTCCTCAGCCAGGCGTGCCTGGCTGAGGAATTCTGGGAGTTGAAGTCCACAAGTCATAAAAGGGCCAAGTTTGAAGACCCCTGAACTATATCAATGCTCCTCAACCATGTCCACTTTAAGATGTGTGGTCTTCAAACTCCCAGAATTTCCCAGTCAGCCATACTGGCTCGGGAATCCTGGGAGTTGAAGTCCACACATCTTAAAGTGGCCACGGTTGATGTACAGGTAATCCTCAACTTACAACAAAACAGTCAATTTAGCCATCTCTGCTAACTCCATCAACTTTTGTAGCCATTCATCCATGGTGGGAATCGAAATATCCTTCCATTTCTGTTGAAATCATCAAAGGCAAGTTAGTCTGATTCATGAAAGTGTGGAAGGGGTCCTCCAGGGCTACAGCCCATCTTCCCCACGGCTCATCACAAATACATACACAATGGGCACCCTGACCCATTGGGTGACATCCTTTCACACAGGAAGAAATACAGGTAGTCCTTGATGTACAACAGTTTGCTGAGCGACCGTTCGAAGTTACAACAGCATTGAAAAAAGTGACTTATAATGATTTTTCACACTTATGACCGTTGCAACATCCCCATGGTCGTGTGATTTGGATACTTGACAACTGACTCACATTTGTGACGGTGTGTCCTGGGGTCATGTGATCGCCTTTTGCAACCTTCTGACAAGCAAAATCAATGGGGAAACCAGATTCACTTAACAACCGTGTGACTAATTTAACAGGTGCAGTGATTCACTTAACAAATGTGGCAAGAAAAGTTGTAAAAGGGGGGCAAAACGCCCTTAAGAAATTTCTCACTTAGCAGCATACATTTTGGGCTCAGTTGTGGTTGTAAGTTGAGGACTATAGCTTAACATGATGTATGAACCAGTTTTATATAGCTTTTATAGCTTTATGTACACTGAACCAAACTAGAAAGCAGATGCTTTATTTTTTATTTTTTTGCTTAGTGCTTTATATGCATCTGTGATGGTGCAACGTTCGTTAAGTGTAAAAATGGTCATAAGTCACTTTTTTCAGTGCCGTTGTAAGTTTGAACGGTCACTAAACGAATTGTTGTAAATTGAGGACTCTAGACTGAGCCACAGCAAGCGTGGCCGGGTACAGCTAGTATAAAAAACATGCTTTTTTTGAAAAACAGCGCCATCTGTTGGACGTAAAAGCAACACACGCTACAATTACAAGCATTGTGAAATTAAACATATTACGAACGTGCGCTTTCTCTTTTCTTTCTTTTCCATTTAACCAGACTGAGCCACAGCAACGCGTGGCCAGGTACAGCTAGTTTTGAAATAAAAATTCCGTTGTTTTCCCACAGACTTTCCATTCAGCTAGGGATTCCCGGTTAAAAACCAGCTGCCTCTTGCAGCTCGCTTAAAGAAAGCCATACTTGGAAGTAGTCCGGATGGGTTTCATCAGATTGAGGCCATAGTGGTATTTCCCTTTGGGATGCTCTTCATCCAGCACTCGTAGGTGAGAATCTGCGGAGCTCTCCAAAGGTAGGCCTTCCGCCCGGGCAGCTGTCTCCAAGGCATCTTGGCAGTCCACCTGCTTGACAGAAAGTGCAGAGTTAAACCTCAGGTATTAGCGAAAAAGCTTGCTGTGTCCCCAAGATCTTACTTGAATCCTAAATATCACAAGGCGTTCAGGTACAACCACTAGGACTTCCAAACGGATTGGCTAATTGATTGATTAGCAACATTGCCAGGAAGGCTCCATCTCAAAGGACCCCGGGAAACAAACAGCTAAAGTTAAAATTACCTGCAAGCTCTTTAGAGGCACCTCCAATCAACCCGTGGCAAAAATATGATGGAATGGAATTCGTCCCTTGCTTTCAGAATACAATGTGTTGGGGGCTGCAGGTACTTTCTCTCTGTTTTGCATTTACGAGTAGTGGCCAAGCACCTCACAATCATGTGATTACCATCTGCAAACTTCTCTGCTGGCTTCCCCAAAAAATCAATGGGGAAGCCACCAGGAAAGATTGCAAGTGGAGGAAATGAAGAAGAGCTGAATCCTTCGCAGGCTGAAGGATTGTTCAGGATTTCAGTTCCGTTTCTGCATCCCTTGAAAGGATTTAAATCAGGAAATCAAAAGGAGAGGGGAAACTCTTTGGCAAGCTGCAAGAAGAGAGCTGAAATCCGGAACATTTCAGCTCCATTCCTGCAGGCTCCCAAAGGCTTTCTCCTCTGTAAACAAAGTGAAACAGAAATCCTTCAACAGGCTACAGGAACATTTCAGAGCAAAAAGGCTGCATAAAAGGAGGATTTCATTTCCACACAGAGCTGAAACTTTCACGCAGGCAGCCCTTTTATTCTCGAAGAGCTGCCTGTCCAGATGACTTCAGCTCCATGAGGACCCGAATCCTTTGGCGGGCAACTTTTTTGATCTATTCACTAAACCAAGAGTGTCAAACTGCTGGCCCGCGGGCCGGTTGCATCATTTGGATGCTGCACCCACCCTAGCTCTGGCAATACGAAAAAAGTCACGATACGTTGTGACACGTCACGTGACGTGGCAAGTTTGACACCCGTGCACTAAACCTATGGGCCGCGGCCCAGGCCTCAAGCTCTTGGCCAGTGGCCACGGAAATGGCTGGCCAGTGCGCACACGCATGGGCGTGCATTCACCCCCACTCGCACTAGTGCCTGCGGCCCCATTTGAGCATGTGTGCAGGCACAAATGGAGATGCTAGCACGGGGCAAATGTCCATGGCCCATTTGCGCATGCGCAAACGGGCCACTAGCCGCCACAGGGGGGCACAGCTGTTCATGCCTGCACACAGTGCCAACGCATGCTGCATGCGCAAACGGGACTGCTAGTGCCGTGCCAGAGTATGTGGCCCTGTGTGCGCACGTACATGCATGTGCACCAATTTTAAAGCTGCTCTCCTTTCCTCCGGTCCGTGAACCCGGGAAGGTTGGAGACCTCTGCACTAAACAATCTGGGAGATTGCTTAACAACCACAATCAGGAGTTCTGGGATTGCACTCAGTGACTGAACCAGTCACATCGGCATCTCACTTGAGGACTGCTTCACTCAGTGACTGACATTCCAGTCCCAATTGTGGTTGTAAATCAAGAACTACCTGTAATGACCTCTGATTCAAACCCTGGATGAGACAGACGAGACATTTGTTAGTTAAATGTGTGTATTAATGCTACTTATTCCCCCCGCAAGCATTTCTAAAACATATTCCTAGGTTTGCATGGCACCGGATTGCTCTGAATGATTTGAAGAGAGTATTTTACGTGTCCACTCCAGGTAGATAATGCAAGGGGGGGGACGACCAAGAGTTGGCTTTCATTTTTAAATACAGTGGGGCCTTCTTGTATTAGAATAATTTTCTGGCTAAGTGGAAAGACCTTTGCTATAAATGTTAATTATATGTCTGTCCTCTAGGGTAGCAAAAAAGTCAGGAATCTGATACCACCTTTTTTGACTAGCACATTTTATTAACATACCACACTCCTTACTAGCACTGATAATGTTACCTAGTTTGGGTCATGAAACGTCTGCAAGAATGCAGCCAAGCTCAGAGAGCACCAAGGGCCCCACAATTCAACCCTGAGCTGCAAATATTCTCCTTTATTGGTGCCTTTTACTAACAGCCCTGAGCTTCTGTGAGCTGCACAAAAGCTTATGCCTTTTAATAAAACCTGTTAATTGGAAAAGGTGCTACCCAGACTCCTTCCAGGTTTCTATGGCTATTTATAAGTTGTGCTAAACAGCACTGGCATTCACGACAGTTGAACAACTCGGTGATAATTACTTGCACTCTTCTAACTCCTTGGAAAAATATATTTCTCCAAGAGAAGGTCAAAAAAAAAAAAATCAGGGGAAGGGAGGGAGATGTCATGGAAAAGATCAAGCATATTCTTGATTTCTTGGCAGCAAGAAGGAAGCGTTTTCCACTGAGCTCATCCGAATTTATTGACTTCCCACTCTAGCCTACAGCACTGATATATCCCAGGAGATTTTCTATTCCAGGGCTAGTTAGCTTTGTTTAGATTTTATGAGATCAGCCAAGATATCTATTTTTGTTGTTGCTGTTAAGTCGTGTCCGACCCATCGCGACCCCATGGACAACGTTCCTCCAGGCCTTCCTATCCTCTCCCATCTTCTGGAGTCCATTTAAGCTCACGCCTACTGCTTCAGGGACTCCATCCAGCCCCCTCGTTCTCTGTCGTCCCCTTCTTCTCTTGCCCTCCATCTTTCCCAGCATTAGGCTCTTCTCCAGTAAGTCCTTCCTTCTCATTATCTATTTTAGAGCCTCACAAAACCTTGACTCCCCCCCCCCTTTTGGGGGGGGTATGCTTGTTCTTGACTGTGACCTCAACTGATGAACATGGATTGAAATAGGAAGGGGGAAAAAACTAATTGCTATTGTTCATAAATCTCTGCAACAGACTAAATTAAGAAGAGTCTCCACTAATTAAGTCGGTGGGAACTGACTCAAAATTGAAACAGAACTTTGAATTACCCGATGGTGGTGTTATAATCTTGTTAACAAGCACATAAGTGGGAATACTTTGGTAGAGCGTTACCAAAACCTAAGAGGTCACAAAGTCCCTTATTTCACTACACAGAATGTTCACAATAAGCTTTTTGGTCTTGAAGAATGCAAGAAAATCAAATAAATCAAGAGTTCACTGGTCGGCGTGCCTCCTCATTTTTCTTTTTTCACAGAAAAGAAACTTCTTCATTGTGAACACAAGTTCACACTCTACCTGTGCCATGATAATTCACTACCATCAATATCTCCTTTTCTGATTCCCCCCCCTCTTATTTGGCCTAAGGGAATACACTGAGACTGCTCATAGAGATAGTGACAGGGATGCTGGATCAGGATTCAAATTATGGGTTCTGCTCTTCCTCCTAAGAAAAAAATTAAAAGTCAATTTTGACTCTGGTAATTACATGGACATATCTGTGAGAGTAACTACATACACTGATAAGTAGTCTGTCATGGTTCCGACAGATGAAACTCTTCAAAGAACTTCCCTTCAAGAATCTTTATTCGAGTAGCATAGCATCGGCACTACATAATTGAAGTCAAAATCTGAATTCCCCTCCCCTCAGCACATAGTATCAAAGCACAATTCCCTCCTCTAATTAACAGTCATAAATCACATTCCCCAATTAGCTTGAAACACAGGCTTTCCCTCCAGTTCTTCAACCCGCCATTCCTTATCATCTCTTATTTCAAAAAACCTTGGTTCTCACACTAGTTACAATATTGTTGTAAACAATAACTAAACTCCCATGCACATTCCTCCTCCTCCCCCCCCAGTATCATCTAATTCTAACTCTAATTCTGAGAGTAAAACAGAAGAAGGAAAATGGCTGCATCTCCATATGTTGTCAAAGCAAGAACATCCGATGTTAGCAGCGTTGACATAGTCTAGATCACTTACCAAAACAAACAAGGGTTACAGATAGTCCTTGGCTTACAACCATTCATTTAGTGACTATTTGAAGTTATAACGGGCATTGAAAAAAGTAACCTATGCCTCTTTTTCACACCTACAACTGTTTCAGCATCCCCCACGGTCACGTGATCAAAATTCAGATGCTTGCTAACTGACTCATATTTATGACAGTTGCAATGTCCCAGGGTCACGGGATCCCCTTTTGCGACCTTCTGACAAGCAATGGAGAAGCCAGATTCACTTAACGACGGTGTTACTAGCTTAACAACTGCACTGACTAACTTAACTACTGCGGCTAGAAGGCTCGTAAAATGGGGCAAAGATTCACTTAGCAACTGTCTTGTTTAACAATGGAAATTTTGGGCTCCATTGCAGTCGTAATTCGAGGGCTACCTTTGCAAACTTCGCCAAAGAGACAAGGGCAGTCTCTTGGTACCAAAACAGCATGACAAAAAACTGGGTTGCCTCAAATTATATATATGATTTGTAAAGTAGATTTCACATACTGAAATGCTCGTGTTGTAAAAGTAAACTTCCTTCTAATAAATAGATTAAACAGAACCCTGAAACGCTCCTTTTTGCTATTAGTTGTTTATTGTCCCGATTGCAAGCAAGAAAAACTGACAAACACCCCTACAGTTTCTTGGAAACAGGAGCAGTAAAGAAGCTAAATATTAAATTCTGGGATTGTCTTATTCATCAGGCCAGGGGTAGGCAACCTTGGCTCTTTTATGACTGGTGGACTTCAATTCCCAGAATTCCTGAGCCAGCATGGCTCAGCTTGGAAACCTCTCCCTTTCCCCTCAGCCTGGCTGGCTCAGGAATTCTGGGAGTTGAAGTCCACCAGTCATAAAAGAGCCAAGGTTGCCTACCCCTGCCCCAGGCCTACATTTTCCGGGTGGCCTCTCAACCGAGTCCTAACTTTTAATCTGCTTCAGTTTTATTTTCCTGTCTGCTTATCTAAAATGAATTTTATTTATAAAGGCTTTTGAAAGGGTGTTTTACATTTTTTTTTCTTGTCACCACCATCCCCCGCCCCCGTTAAAATAGATGCCATTGCATTTTCTGGGGGGCAAAGGTCAACGGCAATACAGTCCCCAACCCAGAATAATACAG